CAGAGGTCTATTCCAACCTCAGGATTCTATGGTCCTAAAACGGACAGCCTGAAACCAGGATGTCACACCACAGAACAGGTCCGCACCCTAACCCTGACCTACCGCGGAGGAAAGCTCCCGGCAATGCCTACTGTAAAGCACCGTGTCCATTGCCAGGGGCGTCATGGTCGCTCATCAGTGGAAGCAAAACCTTTACTGCACGCAGCCAGCTGACGCCATCACCCTACCGATCGTTACTGACACCCTGGCGGCTCTCCTTCAAACTGTTCTACTCGCCCGTGGGAAGCAGCTTGCTGGCCAGACGCTCCAAGGAGCCATCTTCCAGCAAAACCTGGGGGACGCCGAGGAAGGGTGCAACCCCAGAAGGGTCAGCCCATCGAGACCTTCTACCTGGTTACTGGGTGTTGATGATACAACTAGTGAAACCCTGAGCTCACCCCAGTGTTTCCTCACGTTTCTCTCACTATGGAATTTTGAGCAGCTTAAGGGAGTATTTGCACACCCAGAGAGGGCACAGGCAGCACTTACTGGTTCCAAAAGCAGTTTTATTCTGTCCGTATGAAAAGCCTGTGTTAGTAGTTGAAGATCCAAAAAGTCCCGTGGCTGTACTCGACGTAGCGGTCGAAGACCCAAACAAGCCTGCAGCTGCTCCTGCTCCGACGGGATTCGAGGGCCCTTTCCTGTTTGCCTGATAATCTTCTAAACGCAGTTCCTGGAAAAGGAAAATCCAGCTCTTGTTACACGTTCTTTGTAGAGGGGGCAAGGTTGGAACCGTGTCATTAGCACGCTGACACGGCATTCAAGCCAACGCCAGGACGAAGGCAGCAAGAAAAGCTGTAACATCTACACCTCTAAAAAGGAGGACACCATAAACGGGACCGAAACTTAGATTCGTGTTTGGACTTCAATTTTACCCCCCAGAGCTTTTTCTGGTGTTTTGAGTAGATGAGCTGTTCTGAACTATCAAGTGAGTCCACCTCAACATAAAGGCTTTGGGAACATCAGTTTATATTAAAATCTGAGTTTTATCCGAGATTCTGCCGTTATCCCAGCAGCGTAGGACCGCTCCCACCAAGGTCTCTCACCCTTCTGGCGTGTGCCCACATGGAATTTCAGCCCTTCAGGAACCCCAGTGCTAAGCAACTAAAGCCAAAGGCAATTAACAAGGTGAAGCGCCAAGTGATGTACTTGATGACGCCTCTCTCCCGCGACCCTGCGGCTCGCGCTCACACTAACGAGCCCAGAAGACACCCGTTACCGCCAGAAAAAGCTCCACCGAGCCAAGGCCACCCAACAGCCCCACCAGGTCCGCGTGCCTGAACGCTCACTGACTGACCTCCAGGGATTTGCTCTCGTACTCCTTCATGGCAGTGATGCACTGGTGCTTGGTGTTGATGTTGGTGCTCACGCCGGACTTGACCATCGTGTCCGTGCCGGTGGGCGGCTGCAAGAGAAGAGGGGAGGACGCCCCACTTAAAACCCAGGCAGGCTTCCGTGAGCACGGCCAGTGCCCTCTGGGCAGACCTGTCACACCCCACATCTGGCACCCGAAGCAGTGGGTCAGTGTCCCCCAGACAGCCGTGGCCTCGCCCGGGGACGAGGCACCTTCAGTAGCCATCAACACTCCCAACAAGGCAGTGCAGGTCATTTCCAGGTTCACAATAAAACTAGTTTACCAAAATTTGGGACACAAACCCTCTAGCTACGCACGGACTCGTGACCCCCCCGTTCTTTCAATCGGGCTGTGAAGGGTGCTCCAACCGCCCGAGGTATCACCCCAGTTCTGTCTGCACCCCAAACCCACCAAACCTCACTCTGCTCAACCAGCTCAGGCTGGAAACGAAGAGGGCAGAGATCTGCGTGGACAAGGATTCGGGGAAAAGAACGCCTCTTTCCAGCAGTCACCCGTTTCCACGACAGCTTTTCTTCCGAGCCACCCTCCCTTTTCAACCACCACACAACCGCCAAGGCGTTAAACAAGCCTTTCTTAAAACAAGCTCATCCAGAAAACACAGGGGATCGCTCTTCCCGTTCCAGTTTGCACCCCCAAAGCCATGCTGACTCGTAAGAGAACTGCACCTATTCCGACCCACTCCGAGATGTCCATAACCCTGTCAGTGCTGCCAGCGTTTAGCGTGGGTCACCCCGAGCTCTGGGGCGCTCCCACCTTCCTGAGGAGACTCAGTTTTGAGAGCTGTTCCGGCTCTTTCAGCTTTCACACAGCTGTAAACCTGCACATCTCGACAGGGCACTACTGCACGGGGTTTCAGAAGTTTGGCAAATTCAGGATAAAAAAAAAAAGTCTAGTTCTCTGGAGTTAAACACAGATCCCATTTCCACCCCAGCAGCCCCCTGACGGGGAGGCTCTCGCACCGTGTCGGCACGCTGCAGACTGGCACACGAGCTGCTCGGTTTTCCACTTCAGCTCCGGGACCAAACCGGTGCTTTACACAGGGAACCGCGAAACGCAACGCTTCCCACAGCCAACAGGCTTGGTTAAGAAGGAAAGGCAGAACTTACGTTAAACTTGATGGTGGTGCCAGTTGGAGCAGCAGTAAAACTGGTCGGGCCAAAGAGGGAGCCGGAGGTACTCCCAAAGGGGTTGGACGTGGTGTTCGTGGTTCCAAAGAGACCTCCGCTGCTGGTGCTAGTCCCGAAGTCTTAAAGAAAGAAAACGAGAAAGATCAGTACTGAAGCAAACCTGCACCTGAAAACTTAAACCTAACCATTTTCCTCAAATTACAAAACAGTTTGGAAATGGAAAAAATAAAAAAAAACAACGTTAGGAAAAGAATTCCCAGCAGAGCTGGAAGCGGATAGTGTGGCACGGCAGCACTCTGCTGCAGGGCACTGCCCCAAGGCCGCCCCAGGAACCCCAAACAGCCACAGCAGCCGGGTTCATCCTGCTCCCGACGAGGCTGAGGAAGCGATGGGCACACGGGGAACGCGGGAGGCCTCTCCTCTCCGAGGGGTCTGCAAGCAGCTTCGGGGATTTACAGCGGAGTTTACGAGGCATTTCAAGGACTTTACTGCCAGAAGCAAAACCAACTCCAGCTGCTCGACAGCAGCAGGGGACAAAGCTAAACTCAGGCAGCGCCACAGGACGTTTAAGAACAGAAAACGCCAGCGGATACCTTTCCCAACGGGTTTTAACCCTCAAAGCTAGAACCACAGCTACAGATCTGGTAGCCCATCAGGCTCTTGGCTGCTGTGGACCACAATAACATCACTACGTCCTTCAGGAAAAAAAAAAACCCAAACCCCACGTTAACACTTGCACCAGACCCACGCGGCCTTCCAGGGTCGGGGCTCTCCACCCACAGACAACAAGCAGTGCTCCAGACACGCAGCGGTTTTACTCACTTCCAAACCCAGCCGGCTTACTCTGTGCAAAGGCATTACTCTGGGACGAGAAGAGGCCTCCCCCCGTGCTGGTGGTCCCAAACAGGCTATTGGATGTCCCCGTCGACGTTCCGAACCCAAAGCCAGTGCTTGTGGAGGAGGTGGCTGGCTGATTGAACGTAGTCGAACCAAATAATCCTCCTGAAGACCGAAACAGACCATTAATCATTTGCCACCGTCAATCACCTGGGGTTTGGGGTTATTTTTTGTCATTTTGGGGTTTTTGTTTGGTCAGGTTCTGCGTTGCTTTTGCTGACGGTTGCCTGGGGATTTTTGTTTGGTGTTTTTGTTTTGCTTTTTCAACTTTTCCTCCCCCCACCCCCCCACCCCTCCTTTTTTTAACACCACCCCCCTCTATCAGGACGGCGCCCCTGCAGCCGCAGCCCAGCCGTACCTGGTTTTGTCTGCGTGCTCCCGAAGAGGCCCCCGGTGTTATTGTTGGACCCAAAGGCCGACGTTCCAAACGCCCCTCCGCTCGTCGTACCGAACCCGGCATCTGAAAACCAGCAGCGCAGGTCAGGGGACACCACAGTCCAGACCAGAAACTCGACGCTGTCGCTGCCTTTCTACCTCTCCAGAAGAAGTCTGTCCACGACCACCCACACATCCGTGTCTGGGACACGGGACACGGCACAACTAACACTTGTACAGAGCTCCTGACGCAGAGGGCTACAAGATGCGAGTCAGCCACTTCCACAGAACGCGGAGACGCGCCTCTGCCAGGCCTCCACCGCTTCTCCTGGCGCCTGGAAGCTGCTCTTCTCACGCCCTGGTTCAGGAGCGATGCAGACAGAACTCCTGTGCTCCCCTCCCAAGGCACAGGGCACACACACCAGTTTACAGCCCGCTTCAATCGCTCACCGTGGTATTTACAGCGTGTACCTCCAGGAGACACTCCTCGAGTCTTCCCTCCCAAGTCATCCCAACATACTCCAGTCCACACTGGAAGAATCTCTCCCCCCACCCCCAAGCAAGACAGCTTCACCAGCCACCCGAGTTCCCGCTCCTCCCAGAAAAGGAGGTTTCAACAACAGGACGTGGAATCCTGGTATCTACCCAAACCAAAAGCGTGGGTTAGTGGAGGAGCCCAGGGCTCCCGACCCCAACTGGCTGCAAAGCCCAGCAGCGCCCTGCGGCACCCACAGAGTCCCCGCCGCCGCCTGAAGGAAAAGCGACCTCGGGTACCGAGAAGTCCCTTCCGACGGACTACTTACTTTGTCCGAAGGTGGATGTTGTCCCAAAGCCAGTGCTGCCTCCAAACGGAGTTCCAAAGGATTTGTTAAACATTTTCAGGCTGTTCCCCTACGCCTGCAAAGAATGATTTAGTTTTAGTTAAAGCTCATCTTGAAAACTCGTTTTTCATCCTCCTCATTGACGCAAGCGACCCGATGCGAGCACTTAAGCCACAAAACGCACAGCAGCCTGTTGAGTCCCACTTTAAAACACAGTCAGAGCCCTGGGAGGGACAAGGACACTAATGCTGCAGTGCCACCGCGAGCGAGCTGCCCCCCACCCTCGGTTAGGGGCAGATTCTCTGTCCGTCCTACAGCCAAGACGCCAATAAATGAAGCTACTCCCCGACCCACGGGGTCTCCACAAAACCCTCGAGGACACCCAGCACCAGCAGCAGTTCCTGCATCTGTTTCTCCCACGTTTGCTCCACCCCAGGCCCCGCGACGCCCCAGACACCCGTGGGGTCTGCACTGGGCCGTGGCCGCGACGCTCCCCAGCTCTGCC